GTTTTGGAAAATTTGGCCCCAGAGAGGACGCCCTGTGTCCTTGCACCTGAAATAGCTAAGTGAGATTCGAGGCATTTTAGCAGCAGATGGAAGGTTCGTTTTACCCTAAGGCCCTACAAGGTGTGTGAGCTGCTTGTTTGTCTTAAGGCTGTGGGTGTTCACTCTTTTTTGTCCTTGGTGGCCAAGGTAACCGAGAAGGGCTCCTGTGGAAGCGGGGGAGGGACAACGCGCAGTTCCTGAGAAGGAGATTTGTCCTGTTGGCGAGGGAAGGCCTTCTGAAGTACTACACTAAAGAAGAGGTAAGAGGCCAGACGAGTGCGGTCCCCTCCCTGAGCACCGGGCTCTCCCCCCCTGAGGTCTCCACTTGAATCCATCGCGCCTTGCCTTGGGGATGGTCTCAGCCACTGACAGGCACCACATCCTAGTTTCCGTTGCTTGTACCATCAACCCAGTCCACTAACATACGCCTTCTGTTCACCTAGAATGGGCTTAGACCAGCCCATGATTAAGCCTTTGGTGATCACTTGATTTTACTTAATTTCTTCATACACTCGAGAAATATTTATTGAGCACCTGCCCTATGCTAGACATTATTGTAGACACTGGGGATACAGCAGTGAACTAAACAAAGCTCCAGTTCTCTTGGGGCTTTCATTCTAGTGGAAGGAGACAGATGGTAATCAAATGGACATCAATATATGAAATGTCAGGTGGCAGTAAGTTCTAAGAATAAAGGGGTGAGCCCGGCCGGGCGTGGCTCAGCAGTTGAGCGTCGACCTAGGATCCAGGCGATCAGGGTTCGATTCCCGGTCAGGGCACATGCCCGGGTTGCAGGCTCGATCAATGACTCTCTCATCATTGATGTTTCTAGCTCTCTCTCCCTCTCCTTTCCTCTCTCTGAAATCAATAAAGATATATTAAAAAAAAAAAAAAAGAATGAAGGAGTGAAGGGTTAGAAGGTGATGGGAATGTGCCGGGGGAGANCTCTCTGAAATCAATAAAGATATATTAAAAAAAAAAAGAATAAAGGAGTGAAGGGTTAGAAGGTGATGGGAATGTGCAGGGGGAGGGGGGCTAACAGAGGGGTCAGAGAAGGCCTCTTCGATGACATCTGGACAGACAGCTCAAAGAGTGGGAGTTATGTGGCTCTGGGGGAACAGTATGTGCAGTAGCCCTGAGCATGGCCCTGGCTAGCATATATGCCTGTGTGCTGATTAGAAAAGATGACCCTCGGAGGGGGTGCAGCCCCCGGGGCCCAGGCTGGACAGACTGAAGCCTGGATTCCAGTTCTCACTTGTAGCCTCAGGCATGGGATTTCCTTTTGTTCAGTGTACAAACTGCTCAGCCCTGGCCTGAGCTGGAAGTGTTTGGTGGGCCTTCGGGGCATCAAGGAGGTCAGAGTAACCGGGCAAAGAAAAGAGGGGAGGGAGATGGACTCACAGAGAGGAGGACCTTCTAGGCCACGGGAGACTTGCAGGGAAGTCTGTCCAGCGCGGCCACAGTCTGGGGCCAAGAGAGAAATGATGGGGGATGAAGGGTATTCATCCTCTGAGCGAGAGCAGGGGTTTCTTCTCCGTTTTCAGTTTAAAACACTGAAAAACGTTGCAGGCACAAGAGGCAGGAAGAGAAAGGGGTGCTGCAGACTTAGGAGGGGCACCGACCCCCAGCAGCCGCTGGGAGCTGGCCTCTCAGAGTCTCATCCTTGGCTGGGAAAAGTCGATCCGTTTCTGAGTTCTAAGCCAGTTCCGTCTAAAACAGTCTAAAAATAACATCAGTTGCCTTTATTCTTTTTCTTTCTTTCTTTCCCAAAAGGGAACATTTAAAAAAAATATCTTTATTGATTTCAGAGAGAGGAAGGGAGAGGGAGAGAGAGAGAAACATCAATGAGAGTCATTGATCAGCTGCCTCCTGCTCGCCCCCTGCTGGGGATCAAGCCCGAAATGGCTGAGCCACACCAGTGGGGGCTCAAAAGGGAAATTTTTAACATTATAATTTTTAACATCATTTTTTATGTAAAAATTTTGGTTAATACAAAAAGTAAATGAAGTATAAAGAAAGTGAAAGTCAGAAGCTATCTCAGCATAACAAAAGGTTAATACCCAGAACACATTACAATAAAAACAACCCTACAAATCAAGAAGAAAAATGCAACCCATTAGAAAAATGGCAAAGGGAAAGGACTGGCCTTTCGCGGAAAAGGAAACCAAAAGGCCTGATACGTACAAGAAGAGACGCTCCATATCTCGGGCAGTCAGGAAAATGCGAACTAAAGCCACAAGATGTGCCGCACGCCCACCGTAATGGCTACAATGAAAAAAGCTGGTAACACTTTTAATGGCTATGGTTAAAAAGGGACCAGCAATGTAAAGTAATACAACCTCTCTGGAAAACAACTTGGCAATTTTTAATAAAGTTAAATGCATACCTAGCCACACAACCCAGCCATTCCACTGCTAGGTATTTACTGAAGAGGAACAGAATCATATGTCCTCAAGACTTATACACAAATGTTCACAGAAGCTGTATTTGTAATACCTGAAACCTGGAAAGAACCCAAATGTCCACCCGCAGCCGAATGACTAAACAAACTATAATCCATCCATAGAATGGAATATTACTCAGCAGTAAAAAAAGGGGCAAACTGAAAAATGCAATAATGTGGATTAATCTAAAAATACTATTCTGAGCCAAAGAAGCCTTGTACAAGAGTATGCACCACATAATTTCATTTATATGAAATTCTAGAGCGAGCAAAACTACTCTCTATCAGTAGAAAGTAGGTCAGTGACTGCCTGGGGTGGGGGGTGGAGGGTGGGGATTGACAGCAAACGGGCAGGAGGACACTCTTTTGGGGGTGATAGTGATGTTCTACATCTTGATTGTGGGGGAATATGGGCTTATGAAAAATAAACTGTACTCTTAAAATGAGTTCATTTATTGTTTATCAATTATACCTCAACATAGCTGATTAAATGAAAACAGTGAGATCCAATTTCAAACCCATCATATTGGCAAAAATGTTAAAAATTGGCAGCATCAAGTGTTAGAATGAGGGGGAAGGGGAAGCCGTCTATGTTATTTATGGATGTAAGTATTGGTACAACCACCGTGGAGAGCCACTCAGCAAAATCGCTTGGCAGTTTCCAGCAAGTCAAAGGTACACAGGCATGTGACCTAGCAGTTCCTTTCCTCAGCGTATGCTGCGACCTAGAGAAACTCTCGCACATGTGGACCAGGGACAGAAGCTGACTGCAGCAGAAATCAGAAACAATCTCAGTGTCTGTCAATAGGAAAAATGAATACCTTTTGCTGTAGTCATTTGCAAGAGCAAACTAAATTGCTGTGTCTCAACATGGATAGACCTGAAATATACAATGTTGAGTGACGAAAGCAAGATATAGACTGATTCTTATAGTATGATACCATTTTTGTAAATTAAAGCCACATGAAAAAATACTCTATATTGCTCATAGATACGGGACATGTGTGTAAAAGTATAAAAAGTGAGCTAGAAGAATACACACCAGACTCGTGACGGTGATGGCCTGTGGGGAGGGGAGGAGAAGAGACGGGCTGGGTAGTAGCTAAAGGGGTTTGCCTTTCTTAGTAATGTCATATTTCTTTTTTAAAAAGTTGGAAACAGTATTGACAAAATTAGATGTACTTTATAATTACTGTAGTATTTTTCATAGGAAATATTTTAAGAGAAAAGTCTTTCAATAATCTTTCAAGAAAACCGTTTTTATCATAAATCTGTCTATACTTTTTAGGCATGTCCAAATATACCTATAGTATATATAAATGTATATGTGTTATATACATATATATTATGCACATATAATATATATGTGTGTATGGATATAATTACATGTATATACATGTATATTGTCCATATACATATATTTTCTCTGTATGTGTGTAATTTTTGTTTTAGTAGGTTCCTGTTTTGGGACTTGGTATTTCTCATAATGTCATGGACATTTTTTCACATTAGTAACATTGATCTAAATTATTCTTTTAAATTTCTGTAGCATTTCATTGTGTGGATGTACCATGATTTATTTATTTTACCCACAATCATTAGTGGACATTTAAATAATTTCTTCTTTTTCTGCTATAAGCAACACGGCAGTAGACATCTTTTGCCATGCATGTTTGCACAGTAGTGCAGTGACCTCCTTGGGATGGATTCTGAGATGCACAGCTGTGAGTCAAAGCAAAACACTCAATACTTTAATAAATATGACCAAATTCCCCTCTAGAGAAGACTGTCCAATAGAACTTTCTTCAGGGACAGAATGTTCTACATCTGCCCTGTTCAATACCCTGGCCACTGGCCTTGAGCAGCTCCTTGGGCACTTGAAATGGGGATGAGTGCGGAACTGAAGTTTTATTTTTATTTAATTTTAATTCTAATGGCTACCACAGCTCTACAGTGTCTGTTTCATTTTTGTCTCCGATCCGTTATGAAGGAGGGCACTCTTCCCTGCTCTGCATTAATCAGTGATTGGACTGTTTCAGAACCCTGAGAACAGAGAGTACCCTGCATCTGCTGGGTTTTTGTTTTTTTTTNCTGCTCTGCATTAATCAGTGATTGGACTGTTTCAGAACCCTGAGAACAGAGAGAACCCTGCATCTGCTTTTTTTTCTTTTCTTTTTTTTTTAAATGTTTTTATTGATTTTAGAGAGAGGAAGGGAGAGAGAGAAACATCAATCAGCTGCCTCCTGCACACCCTCTACTGGGGATCGAGCCTGAAACCTGGGCTTGTGCCTGGACCGGGGATCGAATCAGCGACCTTTTGGTGCACGGGACAACACTCAGCCAACGGAGACACACNTGCTCTGCATTAATCAGTGATTGGACTGTTTCAGAACCCTGAGAACAGAGAGAACCCTGCATCTGCTTTTTTTTCTTTTCTTTTTTTTTTAAATGTTTTTATTGATTTTAGAGAGAGGAAGGGAGAGAGAGAAACATCAATCAGCTGCCTCCTGCACACCCTCTACTGGGGATCAAGCCTGAAACCTGGGCTTGTGCCTGGACCGGGAATCGAATCAGCGACCTTTCGGTGCACGGGACAACACTCAGCCAATGGAGACACATNGAGAGAGAAACATCAATCAGCTGCCTCCTGCACACCCTCTACTGGGGATCGAGCCTGAAACCTGGGCTTGTGCCTGGACCGGGGATCGAATCAGCGACCTTTTGGTGCACGGGACAACACTCAGCCAACGGAGACACACCGGCCAGGGCACCTAGCATCTGCTTTTATCTGCTTTATTTTATTTGTTTGGCTTCCACAGATGATTTGCTCCAGGAAAAGTTCTATGGCTAAAAAGTTTGAACAGTCCTGAGTTAAGGCCTTTCCAAGCCCCACGCTAGCTCAGAGAGGCTGGTCTGATTAAGCGGGGATGGCAGGATGGCAATATAATACCTGCGTCTTAATATCAGAGCAAGAACAGTGAAAACCCATGAAAAGTTACAAATTGGTTATCTGTCTGCATTAAGGCCTTGGTGCAGGAGATTAGTCACCTTGCAGACTGCCGGCATCCTGACTATCCATTCCCTCTCTTTCAGGGTAAAAGCCCCAAAGCTGTCATCAACATCAAGGACTTGAATGCCACCTTCCAGACGGAGAAGATAGGGAACCCCCACGGGCTGCAGATCACCTACCAGAAAGAGGGCCACATCCGGAACCTGTTTGTGTATCACGAAAGTGGCAAGGTAGGATGACTGGCCTTGCCACGCCCGCCAGCCTCCAGCTCAGCACCCCAGGGCTCTGCAGGCCCAGCTCACCAGCTCCCTTGTTCAGCTGCCTCTTGAGATCTGCACCTACTGTTTGCCTAAGTGTATCCTCACTTTCTGGTCAGAGATAGCAGTGTGAGGAAGGCAGAGGGAGATCAGAGAGAGGATCCTGACAGGTCCTGTGGGTGTGTCTGGACAGAGCACATCCACTAAGGGGAGTCCAGTCAGCAGGAGGGACTATGCCCCGGGATGACAAATCCCCCAGGATGGCAAATCCAGGTAGAGCCAGAGGTTCTAAATATGCAGAGATTCTGAATATGGGAGGAGGAATGGAGAGACGATCAGGCAGCAGTGCATTCTGGGGCCTTGCTCTTCGACGTGAGGTCCTGTCCCAACAGCTGGGAGCTTATCAGAACCACCGCAGGTGAACCTTAGGCACATTAAAGTTTGAGAAGCGCTACTTGAAGGTCCAGGCAATCAGATCCCTGGTTCTCAGTGCATGGTGGGCTCTCTGCTGTCGCTCAGACTGGCTGGACACTGGTGGCCCCCCCCTGTGCTAGTCGCAGCTATAAGTACTTTCACTGAGGTGCCCAAGGTCTCTGACACTTATGGTACCTGACTCCTTCCTACTTGCCCAGTTGTAGAGCAGCTGAAAACCTAGGCCTGGTCATTCTGCTCTTCCCTTGATACCCCAGGTTCTCCATCAGTTCAACATAAGCGGGGGGGCTGCACAGTCTCGCCTTTGGGAGCCCGATAGATAATTTAAAGGTGAAGGGAGCAGCTGTGAGGCTGCTGCAAACAGGAAAACTTGCAGAAAGGATTGAAACAAACAAAACTTCAGGAGCCAAACAAACATGAATGCAGGTTGGATTTGTCCCTGAGGTCATCAGCTTGTGACTGGAGCGACCTTCCAAAGTGAAGGTCCTAGCTGGGTCTTTCCCGGGATGGGCCCACTGAGGGACAGTGCCTGACACACAAAAACATTCTTAACTCCAGGGACTAGAGAGCTCAGAACTCCCAACGCTACGCCTGCGTGCTCGACCCGTGAGAGACAGTTTCATTCCTCTAAAACCATATTCAAATGAATTTTCCGATCACCCAGTTACATCAAAGTGTAGCACTGCAGCTTCCTGAACAAGTCTCTCTGCCTCCCAGTTCCACATTCCTGGGAGAAAGAATCTGAAAAGCCCAGTCCAGCCTCTGCATTGGTCCAGCCCTGGTCCAGTTGCTGTGGCCAAGAAGAGGCGGGATCATAGCAGCAAATGTGACTGCAACTGAGGCAAGGTGGTGGGTGGGTGAGAATGGGTGGGGCATCTCTCATAGAAGCAGGGCTTGGGCTGAGCAAAAATCTATTTCAGCATCTAAACTACCCTTCGGGATGAATGGAATGTTCTNGCAAAAATCTATTTCAGCATCTAAACTACCCTTCGGGATGAATGGAATGTACCTAGAGGCAGTAGGTATGTGTGGGGGGAGGGGAGTGTTCCTGGAGGAGGGAACAGCATGTGTTGGGATTGCAAAGGGCTTTGTATGGAAGGAGCTCAGAGGCAAAGTAAGTCACACTGAAGGGCTTAGATTTTCTTCGTGAGGGTCATGGAGAGGACTCAAAGCTAGACTCAGTAGATTTAGAAAATTACTCTAAATTAGAAAACCACTCTGGCTGCGGGGGAAGGACTGACTGGAGAACAGCAGAGCAGAGGCAGACCGAGCCAGACGAGCTGTTCGCCTGGTGAGAGGTGATGGTGGCCCACACTGCCGAGGGATGCATTCTCCAGCGACAGCAGAAGATCCGAGCCAGCTTTGGTCTACGTTGCTCTCCAAGCAATGAGCACCCCCCCCTTGGAGGAGCATCCCCAGGTGTGCGTGCCCCCACCTGAAAACCGGTCTTTGTCATCTGAGGACCTTTGGTCCTCAAAGTGGGTCCCACTGACAATCACTGAGAGATTGTTAGGAATGCAGAATCTCAGGCCCCTCCCCAAACCCACTGAATCCATATCTGCATTGTAATGAGATCCTCAGGTGACTTGTACACACGTGAGAAAATGTCAAGGACCATCCTAGGCCATTGCATAACTCACCTTGGTCCTTTCCCATGGCCCTGGGACCTCCCTGCCGGTGGCTTCCCACTTGCTCAGGTGAGCCCTGCCCCCTGGTCTCTGGCATTGTCCCCCCAGATGCCTGTGATCAGCCCACAGGCCCCTGAGTGGAACTGGGCGTGTGCATGTGCGGAATGCATGCGCCCAGACCTGAAGACGCAGCGCTTCCTGCCACCACACTCAGCTCCACTGCCCCATCTCACCAGCTGTGCCTTTGTCCTTTGTCTTTCTCTCTGCAGGAGATAGTGGACTGGTTCAATGCCCTCCGTGCAGCCCGTCTGCAGTACCTAAAGACAGCCTTTCCTGAGCTCCCAGAGTCTGAGGTGAGCTAAAGTGGACCCCAACTTCCAAGTCTCCTCTCTGCCACCTCCTCTCCTTGTCTGCTGACCTCGAAGACACTCAGAGGCCAGACTAGGTTGGTTCGTAGGCAAGACTTTGAGACTTGGGGTTGGGTAGCTCAGAGGGAAAGTAAAGGCTTTCTCCTGGGGAGGCCGGCGGGATTACGGCCTCCCACATTGCAAAGCGGACCCCAAAAGGCAGGTCAGGATCTCCCCTTAGGGCTGCAAGGATTCATCCACCCTGTCAAAGGGCTCAGGATTCGAGCATTTCTTCCTGACCCGTTCTCCCTCTGAAAGGTGCAAAGTGCTTTAGAGCCCATATTATCTCGTAATTCCTTTCTATCTCGTAATCTTGCAGCAGGCAGTTAGGTGGGGGTGATTGCTCCCATTTTGCTGATGAGAAACTGAGTCCCAGGAAGGCCAAGCAGATAACCAAAGGTACTCCTCCCACTTTCACAACCCCTTTGCCCTTTCGTATTCTGGTCTCATGAAGGCAGTGGGATCTTCCCCGTTGCAATTCTAGAGGGAACAGTCTGCCTTTCATGGCCCAGGTGGTGGTGAGCCTTTGAACTTCATGTTGGTTGTCTTCAGATGTCAGGGGCATCCATGCACCTCTCTCAGGCTTGGCTGGGGAAGCCAGCAGTGTGGGGCAGAGGATGCTGCCTTAAGCCAGGAGGCCTGGGCTCTCATGGATGTCCTGTGGCTGACTTGCTGTGTGACCAATGCAGGTCACATCACCTCTCTGCACACCTGTCTCCAGATCTGTATGATGGCAGTTGATCTGGGTCATCTTCAGGGTCCCTTTCGGCTTTGAGGTGCTGTGATCTGGTGTCTGCTTTAGGCCCTACTCTAAGAGTGTATTAATCCTGGGACTGTCTTATTCCAAACTGTTAAGTCCTCCTTGAAAACCTAAATGCTCCCTAATTCCAAAGTGTGCAGGGAGCCAAGTGCCTGGGATGGGGTGCACCCAGATGGCAACTCTCTGAGAGCGGCCCCATGAGCCTGAGTCAGGGTGCTCCCAGTCTGCAGAGTCAGCACCCAGGGCGGGCGAATGCAGGACCCTGTGGGAAGGGTGCTGGGAGTGCTGACTGCTGACTGCTGACTGGAGAGGACGGGACAAAGTGCAGATGCTCTGCCTTGTTTATCTGGCCGAGCTCTCCAACTTTGCTGACCCCTGCAGAGAAAATTGGTCTTTGGCCAACATCCTCAATGTCCTTTCGCCTCCCTCATCTGCCGTCGTTAACCCTGCCTACCCCCAGCCTCCTCCCTGCCTGCCTTTCTTCCCTGTTTCTCCTCCCTGGTGTCTGTGTGAGGTCCTGGGCAATCCCCCAAGGCCTGGTTCAAGCTTAGGCATCCAGATGCCAGGAACCCGGAGAGTCCTCATGGGATTTTGGTCCTGTGCTAAGGATGCATGGACTGAGGTCAGGGAAGCTGATGTGTTACCTAGGCCAGGTCACCTTACCTCTTTGAGCCTCGGTTTACTCATCTGTCACCATGGGGACACTACTTCCCTTCCAGGGCTATTGTGAGAATCGGGTGACCCAAGGCATCTAAGGTGCAGTGGACAGTACTCCAGTCACGTGCCTTTCCCTCTCCCAGGCGTTTCCCGAGGCCCAGACTAGACCATTGAACAGTAGGGACGCTGTTTTTTCTCCAAATGAAGGAATTAACGCCTATAGAATATGTTTTAGGGGAAGAAGAGTGGTATAGGGTATATTTTTGGTTTTGGCTCACAATTTTCCCCCTTTCAGACTTCCTGTTCCCCGGACCTCACTTCCCCTTTGCCTCTGCCCTGGGCCTGGAGCTCTGGAGACCCCTTCTGCTCTCGGAAGGCTGGGCTGTCACTGGAAGCTCTAGTCTCGGCTGACCCCCTGGAGACAGGAGGCCAGCACCAGTCCCTGCAAGCGTCTCTGGGAACAGGATGGCGATCCTGGAGATCGCGTCATCCAGTCTCCTTATTGCACAGAGGGAAACAGGCTCAGAGAGGCCACTACGCTTTAGCATCACCGGGTAGTGGTAGAAGCACCACTAGTGTCTGTCCAGTGTCCGTCGGCCCTGGGTGTGAATCCCAGATCTCCATCCTACCAGCGGTGTGACTTTGGGAATACCCTTGACCACTGTATAACGATTCACTGAGGATGATACTATCCACCGCCTCCCGGGGTGGTTGAGAATTGCTCCCGGAGCCTGATATGCAACAGACCTCCAGGAGACCCTGATACCAGGAGGGTCTCCTCAGAGCCTGGCCCGTGCCCACCCCCTGGCTTATCGAAGCATCCTTTAAACAGAGTTCTTAAACCAAGACTCAGCTATCCTGGGAGGCCCCGTGAACATCTGGGGTGCTGTCGTCTGGCTCTGTTGAAATATTAATGTTGCATCCATGCCGTGTTCCAAATATAACCCTGTGAACCGCGAGCACACATCCTTCCCCATTCCAGACTTCCCCTTTTTTGTGTGGAGCCAAGTTCAGTGGGGAACCCGAGCCCCTGGGCTCTGAGTCAGGGGGTCAGTGCATGTCTCTCTTCCCCCAGCTCGTGCCCCTCATCACGAGGAACTACCTCAAACAAGGCTTCATGGAAAAGACTGGTCCGAAGGTACATACTCCGGGTCCCCGGGGGCCTTCCTGGCCCCTGGCCCAGCGGGCAGGAAGCAGGATTTGGGAGGTGGGACAGTGAGGGAAGGGAAGTGGGCCCGTGTGTGTGAGTCCTGGGGCCACGTGGTTAGCTGGCCAGCGCTGCTGCAAGTGCTTCTCCCCAGCCCTGGGCATCTCCCTCCTCACCAGCACCACCACCTGCTGCTTGCCTCTTAACTCCGCCTCACCGCCCCGCCCCTGGGAAAGCAGAGCTGCAAGGGACTCCTTGGGGACCAGCTTCCACCTTCTCCAGAACTGTGCGCTCTGTGCTGGGGCCCTGCTGGGGTCGTCCGTGTACGTCGGGGGCTAGAGAGGAGTCTGAGAAAACACACCTCTGCACCCGTGCTTGGCACATGGGCGTGTCCCTCCCCAGCACAAACTCAGCCTTTGCAAAGCCCAGCCAACCCCCTCAGAGGCTGCGTATCCCCACTAATCTATGAAGGAAAGGGCGCCTAGAAGCTTCCATGCCTCCCATGGAGGGCCCAGGGGGGTGGAGGCTCCTGCTGCCCAAGGGCATCTCAGACCCAGACTGGGTGCTGGGTGGGCGGGGCTCCAAGTCAGAAGGCTGGCTGGAGGGGGTGCGGTAGGTGTGAGGAGAGGAAGGGGGATCGGGAGGGGAAGAGAAAAGGAAGGGGAAAGCAGAGGGAGCTCCCTAAAAACACTTCCAAAGTGGCAGCATCCCAAAGCTTTATTTTATTTAAAAAAAAACACCCAAAAAGGTGTAATATGCTGCCAGGGTGGTTGTTAACACTACCGGGAAAGGTGTTAAGCAGTCAGTGTGACAGGAAGCCTCATTCAGCATGAAAACTAGTCAAAGGGCTGCACACTTTTTTTTTTTTTTTTTAACCCCTCAGCCGAGCATATTTTTTTCCATTGCTTTTTCAGACAGAGTGGAAGGGAGGGAGAGAAAAACACATGGATGTGAGAGAGGCGCATCTACTGGTTGCCTCGAGCACACGCAGGGGATGGAGCCTCTGGGGGATGGAGCCTGCAACCGAGATACATGCCCTTGGCTGGAATCGAACCCAGGGCCCTTCAGTCCATGGGCCGATGCTCCAACCACACTGAGCCAGGCTGGCCAGGGAGCTTTGTTTCGGTGCTTCAGCAGCCGGCAGGCACCCCGTCCTGTGGTTTTCTGTTGCCCTCAGGCTTTCTTTCCCCTCACCTAGGTTAGACTTTGGCCGGGGCCAGGGCTACTTCTGATTTTCCCAACTTCCTTCTGAGATTCTTGTCCACAGCCTGAGAAAGAGGAAAGCGCCTCTTCCAACCCACAGCCGCCCCTGAAGGCAGCGGGGTGAAGCTGGCAGGGCTGAGGACATGGGCTCAGCCTTCAGAGCTCAAGGGCCTCAGGGAGGGGCCCTGGGGTGACTGCGGAGCAGCGACTGGCCTGCTCGCTGGGCCTGGTGGCCTAGTCCCGGCTGGCCCTCTCACCCCTGTGCTGCCCGGTGTGGCCAGCCCCTGGTACAAGGTCCTCTCTTTTGCAGCAGAGAGAACCTTTCAAGAAAAGGTGGTTCGCCCTGGACCCCCAGGAACAGAGGCTGCTCTATTACAAGAGCCCACTGGTAAGAGCCACCGCTGGCCCTTCCCCAGTTCACCCCCAGAGAGAGGCGGGCTCAGGGCTGGTCGGGGCCTGTGGGAAGCTACAGGGCTGGAGAAACCTCGCCAGGGACACAGCGCCACCGTGGCTTTTCTCTGAGTCATCTCCTGTGCATGAAGCTACTGTCTCCCCTCAACTGCAGGAAGTCCTTTATGTGCATCCAAAATGCTGCCAATGTCGTTAAATAGGTTGTTTCTCATTCTCTAGTCTCCAGGGCCCACTTCTAACCAAAGGCTGGGGAGTGTGGTGGTTAGGGGCGTGGGCTCTAGAACTCGGATATCTGGGCTCCGGCTGCGGCCCTGCTACTTTTCGTGGTGTGCCCTGGACAGAATACCTAGCTCTCTGTGCCTCAGTTTCCTCCTCTGGAAAATAGGCTCAGTAACTACCTTTCTGAGAGGTTGCGCCGAAGATTATAGGAGTCACTGTGTGTAAAGCACTTGAATTCCTGGTGCATAGTTAGCTCTCCTTAAATACTAAATATCATTTTTAAAAAAAAGTTAATTTTCTAAAAGACTTTTTAATTGATTTTAGAGAGGGAGAGAGAGATAGACATAGCTAGATGAGAGAGAGAGAGAGAAACATTAATTTCTTCCACTTAGTTATGCATTCATTGGTTGCTTCTTGCTCTAACCAACTGAGCTACCTGGCCAGGGCAATACTGAGTATTATTTTAACAGATAATATGTGTGATTTCATTTACAAATTCTAAATCCTTTCAAATTCTAAGTCCTACCTAGCAAAGATCCTCAGTAGAGACCCCCCCCCCCACACACACCTCTTTCTAACATAGAGCTCGGGGGCTCTCACAGCTGCAGGTGCCCCTCTGCCCCAGGCGTGGCCTCTGACGACCATGCATCCTCTGTTTTCAGGATGCCTTTGAGCTGGGCCAGGTGTTTCTCGGGAGCCAGGAGCAGGGGTACGAGGTGTGTGAAGACCTGCCCAAGGGCGTCCGAGGGAGTCGCTGGAAAGCTGGCCTCACCATCGTCACCCCCGATCGCAGATTCCTCTTCACCTGCCCCAGCGAGAAGGAGCAGGGCGAGTGGCTGGAGAGTTTTCGGGACGTGCTCTCCCGTCCCTTGACGGCCCTCCACCTCCTCAGTAAGATGCAGGACCTTCTGGCCAAAGGCACAGGGCGGAAAGGGGCTCTTTCACCTGGGTCAACTGTGAGCCCTGAGACCGAGGTCACGGCTCCTGACTGCGCTTGTTCTATTCTTTCCCTGCCCCCAAAAAGTACAGACAGTGTGACATTATCCCAGAAGCCCTCTCTGTCCACGCGAAGTCCTTCCCGGAGCCCTCTGTGGCATCTGGAGTTTTGCCCTGGCAGAGCTCCGTGAGGTCCCCTTCTCTGCTCTGCTGAGTCCGGGGGCCGAGCAGCCTCTCTCCCTGCAGCTCCCGTCCCCTAAGATGCTTTTCTCATGAGAAAAGCCTAGCCTGTTATTAGCTAAGGTCACAGCCTGCTGGGCAGCTCCCAGGATTATTATTTTTTTAAATTTCTGTTTTTATTTATTGGTTTGAGAGAGAGAGAGCTTTGTTGTTCTACTTGTTTATGCACTCATTGGTTGATTCTTGGATGTACCCTGACTGGGGATTCAACCCCCAACCTTGGCATATCAGGATGGCACTCTAACCAACTGAGCTACCCGGCCAGGGCCCAGCTCCCAGGATTTTGGATTCTTCCCCGTTCACAAAGGGAAGGCTATTTTTTAATGCCCTTTCTCTGGGTCCTCTCTTCTGCCTGCCCTTCTCCTGCTTGCCCCCCTTCACCCCAGATGTGTCACAAGTAGGCTTCCCTGCCTGCCAACAGCCCTGTGAATAAAGGGAAGATGTTCTGAGCTAGATCTGGAACCTTCTGGCCCAGGGCCTGGCTTCTGGGGCCACAAGGAGAAGTTCTGTGTTTGGAAAAGTACAGACTGAGCAAGTGACCCCACAGGGCCCCTTGGGAGAAACCCTTGTGCCCTTTGAGTCTGACCAGTGTAAACATAAACTCTCTTCGCTTTCCAAAATCTCAGAGCCAAAGTGCCCCTGAAATGGACTCAGGAGTTGTCAGTGAAGCACATCGGCTGCTGTTTTCTTGTCCCCATGGCCTGTGTGTCTGAGTCTCTTTCTGTTTCTGTGTCCCTCAGTCTCTGCTTTTCTCTTCTTCTCTGGTATGTGTGTGTCCCCTCTGTCTCTCACCCCTCCAGCCCTTTTATTATTCTAGTTCCCCCTGTCCCCTGCTGTCCCTTCTCTCTTGTAGGACTGCATTGGCACGGCCACCCCTCATTCCTCTTTTCCCCCCCTTTGCAGCTACATCAAAAGAGAGTGGCCACAGCAGCAGGTGACCCACTGGTGGAGGAGCTGGATGGCCACTGGCCATGGGAGTTCTTGGTAGGAAGGAGAAATGCTCAGCTTGGCCTTGGTTACCCAGCAGGAGTGCCCCGCAGCTGGCAGCCATCGCTGGCAGTGAACTCCGCCAAGATTAAAGCTCTGGTCTTTACTCACCGGCTCCCTGGGCCTCACCACTGCCCAGCCCTGGGGACCTGGGGGTCTGGGACATGTCCTCAAGGCCCAGGACATCCGTGATGAAGACACTGCAATGGAGAAGCACCCACAGCATCACACAAGTGGCATGCTTGCCCCCCAGAACAATTTAATCTGACTCTAACCATGAAGAAATAGTCAGACAAATCTATGTTAGGGACATTCTGCAAAACAGCTGGCCTGGACTCCTCAAAAACGTCAACAGCATGACAAAGTCGTATGGGAGCTGTTCTAGGTTAAAGGAGACTGGAGATCTGCACCAGGTGATTTGTGATTCTTGATTGGATCCTGGATTTAAAACCAGCTATAAAAGACATAAATTTTAAAAAAGCAGCTATAAAGGACATATCAGTAACCTTTTGGTACATGGTCCCAAACAGTGATGACACTGAACCAACTGAGCCACACTGGGCAGGACAGGGGGAAAAACTTTTTTAAAAAACCATCCACTTTCCGCCAGGCCAGGCGTAGCTCAGCCGTTGAGCATCGACCTAGGATCCAGGAGATCGCGGTTCGATTCCCCGTCGGGGCACATGCCGGGGTTGCAGGCTTGATTCCCAGTGGGGGGCTTACAGGCGGCAGCCAATAGATGACTCTCTCATCATTGATATTTCAACTCTCTCTCTCCCTCTCCCTTCCTCTCTCTGAAATCAATATACTTAAAAAAAAACACACATCCACTTTTCACCGCTAAAAAAAGTATTCTGTCTATATGAATCATAAATGTTCCTGGGAGAGTGCCACCTCTGTGCACATTTTAGGTTGTTGGGGAGGGCAGGAGTAAGAATTGATTAGACTGGGGGAGGGTCTGCTTCCCAGTGGTGGAGTAGCTCATTCAGAACAACCGTTCCACAGATAACAATTAGAAACTCTGTACAGACTATGACAGAACAATTATCTGAAGGCCCTGGAAAATAACCTAAAGCAGGAAGAAACTAGAGAGAAGTTGCCACTAGAAAGCAAGGAATGGTATGAGTTTCTCAGTTTTTAGCTTCTCACCTGAGGGCAGGCCCCTGTCAGTGCCCCTCAGGCGTCCACTAAAACTCTGATGGAAACCTGCAGTCCTACTGATTGAAAAACAGAGAACAGCCCTGCCGGGCGTGGCTCAGCGGTTGAGCATCGACCTAGGATCCAGGCGATCAGGGTTCGATTCCCGGTCAGGGCACATGCCTGGGTTGTGGGCTGCAGCCCATCAATGGCTCTCTCATCATTGATGTTTCTATCTCTCTCTCTCCCTCTCCTTTCCTCTCTCTGAAATCAATAAAGATATATTAAAAAAAATAAAAATAATAATAAAAATTTAGAAAAACAGAGGACAGAGTTTAGGGTTGTTCAAGGGTCAACTATCAGTTGACTGATATATACTCTCAGGCAGTATATATCAGTCAGGATAGGCTAGGTTATGCTGCAGCAACAAGCACCCACTAAATCTCAGTTAACTTACCATATCCCAAGTTTATTTCTCTCCTTTACTCCATGTCCTAGTGTGGGTTGGCAGGGTGGCTGCTCATCTTAGCCACTCAGAGACCCAGGCCACCAGACAACGGCTTCATCTCCATAGTCAGGGCAGGTGGCAGAAAGAGATACAATGACACTTGCTAGCTTTTTAAGCTGATAGGAAGTTAACACGTATTATTCCTGAGTGTCTCAAGTGGGTCAGAGAAGTGCCAGTCCTACCAGGTGCCTAGAAAGGGAAAGAGTTGGAAGCCTCGATGAGCAGCGCTAAAAGGTAAGTTTTATTGACTACCACCTGCAATTTCCGGTATTGGAAATAGCCACGAATTTGTATTATCTGGTACCTGCTTTGAGACCATATAAGATGGGGTTAAAATATAGGACATAGAGTGAGAGGGGCTCTGGTCTCTGCCGCTCGGTTACTGCTATGTAAGCCTGCAAGATCCTTTACCTCTTTGGGTCTTTGGGGAGGACTTGATGCTTTTCCAGCTCCAACGTTTTCTCGTTGTAATGCGCTTAGGACTGGAATAAGAGAGGAGGAAGAAAGCCAGTCCCTCCAGGATCAAGTGTGTCAGCTACAAGAAAACAGACTTTCTAGTACTTTTTGTCCTGATGCCCGTGGAGTAACTTGCTTTACGCCAGCAGAGGGCAGTAGGGAGCCAGCGGCAAATCCTGCCTTGTAACAGCGATGTTTAAAGTCTAGGGGTCACTCAGTTTTGCACGTTTGACTTATGCGGGGGGCAGGAGGAGAGGTGTCAAAAATATCCGTGCCCAGGCTCCATCCCAGACAATGAAATCAGACTCCCTGGGGGAGGAGCCCAAACTGGTATTTTCAAAGAGCTTCCCGGCTTGGCACGCGGGAGGCTGGATGACACCTAGTGGGCGCGTTCTTTTCAAAGAGTAGAATCGAATTCTCTCTCTTTTC